TAATAGCTTTTTGTTTAAACTCGGTACCAGTAATTTGAGGATCTTTTAGTGCATCATATAATTGTGCGAAACTATTCCATAATTGTTGAATTATTTGTGCTCGGTCTTTTGGAAAAATTACTGCAATATTAAAATTGTGAAGTACTTTAAGTTTATCGGCTCCCATTAGGGATGTATAATTCTAATTATTTGATCTATTTTCTTGCCAAAATTCAAATTTAACATTAATTTGCTTCATTTCATCTATAATAATTTTTCGCTTAGAATCAAACTGCTTAGTTGTTTTGAGTTCTGTTATTACTAAGTTCCATAACCGATTGGTAATACGTAATAATAAATGAAGTTCATCTACTATCCAATGATCAATTGCTATCATCAGAAAAAGAGGTTTTTTTGTATGACCATTCATTTTAGTAAAATGCTGAGCAATATCATCTATATTTTTATTTATCGTCCAATCATATTCAAAATTTTCATTCAGTTTTTTGCAACAGTTGCACCAAAGACAGAAATAGTCCGAATTTGCTGCTTTATGACTAAAACACAAAGCAAGCATTTTCCAATCAGCAGAAAAGAACAATTTAATTTCCCATTTTCTATTTTCACTATCATAAAATTCATTTTTTATTTCCTCAAGATCTTTAGTTAATAATGCTAGTGCTGTTTCTAAAATTTTATAATTTTCAATACCAGGATAAAGAACTAAAGTATAATGATTTTTAGGATTATAAACATTCCTTAAATCATTTAAAATGCAAAAAGTAAACATAACATGATTGACTTTTCGTCCTACATTCTGTCTATCTCCTGAAATATGTATATATATAGTAGGAAAATCTAGATTTAAAATTTTTTTTTGAAGCCAAATTGGAATCATATATTTTAAAATATCTTTAATTGAGCGATAGGCACCTTTTTTAATTGAATTTGTAACAGTTTCTATAATTTCATGATCAGTAATATGCTCATCGTAATTCTCATCATTATCTTGAAATTTAAATTCCAAATTAAAAAGTGCAACCTTTATATAATTGTTAATTTCATTTGTAATTTTTTGTTTCATACTAGATACAGCCCATTCACAAGGAAGATCATGAGAGATTCTAGCAAGTTCTCTATAAGCATTTCATGAAATTTTTTCATGATCCATAGCATGTACAATAGCTTGAAGATGAAAGTTTTCACTATTATCTAAGTTAATCAGATCCTTAAAAGCAAATCTATAATTATTATCATTAATTGAAAAAGCCATTTCATGTAAGACTACATGATCATCTGAATGAAATACTGTTTTAATTGTTTCATTAAAAGAACTTTGAAAAGATAAAGCTCCTTTTTTACTACGATTTCTTTGTTCAGAATTACTCAATAATGAATATGGTTTAATTCTTCTTGCAATTTGACAGGCTTCACAAACTTCTTTTATTTGTTGTAATTGTAATCCGAACAAAAGAGTCCCATTCCACTTCATTCCTTTATTTTTAACTATTTTTTGATTCAGATCAATTTCTGCTAATAGTAATACACTAGATACTGGTATTACTTGTTTTTTTTTTATTGCCTAGTTATAATGATATAATTAAACAATATACAGTATTTTAATATATATGTATATGATATAATAAAACTTACTGCTTGATATGCATTTACTACTGCAGATGCACTTTTGTCAGATTCAACTTGTTCAACTGGATTTTCTCCATATTTAATACGAAATACAGGTTTTTGACTATAATATTTAATTGAACAAATAATAGTTTTTTGTATTTTTTTACCATAAGTAGCTTCAACTTTATAATCGTTTGGTATTTTATATTGAAACAGTTTTTTAGTATAAGCAAGCTTGTTATCTAAAGGATATTTTCCTTCAGAAATAATTCTATAAATCATACTTTGACCAAAACCTTTATATTTGATAGTAGAATTTTGTGGATAAGTATTTGTTTCATTTTTATATTCTTTTTGACTTATTTCATAAAGAAGTTCACTTTCAAT